CCCCCCCCCCCCTGTATACCGATTGGGAACAAATAAAGGCAATAAACTGAATGCTGAATGATATTAGCGATGAAGGAAAAACTAAAAATCCCGCTTGTTTTTTTAGATCTCGCAGTCTCCTTTACGATATTTACCTCACAGTCTTATGTGAAAAGTCAAACAACAATTGGTTAATAGCAAATGAAGCGTGAACTGAAAAGCTCGGAGGCACTGGACAGCTGGTTCGACCTGGTTGGGTCTCATCAGCAGTGCGAGTCCATCGACCCGACTGGGGATCGAACCCGGTACTCCATGGGCAGAACGCAGGCGTGCTACCCACTACGCTACCGAGCAGCTGATCAGACTGTTTTTCATTTCCCATTTACACCATATAGCACAACCCATCTTTGAAAGTTTCTTGCGGGCCACGGACCCTGCTCAACTCAGCACTAGCCTCCGGGGTTATGACTCGGTTGGAAACATTCACAACCTGACTGATAATTTCATGTGAGTAATGGAGGATTTAGTTAAATTTCAAATGGGAATTCGTCGTGTATATAGCAAATGAAGCGTGAACTGAAAAGCTCGGAGCTGGTCACAAATAACGTCCGTAGCATTCATCGTATTGTATCTTCAAAATAAATTAACATAGAATATAGGACTAACAGGTTGAAAAGCAATGTCTCATTTATAATTTCCAGCATTGGAAACGAGCATCCACCAATCTAAATTCAAGCGAAAACTAGATCCTATCGAGCCGGTGAATAACTGATCTATTGACTCAATCATCACTTTCTATGCACGATGCAGTATCGTTTAAGTGTACCAGCCAACTTAACTTCGCTTTACTCCAGTGATTTCGTACGAACCACCATTACTCAATGTAATCTTAACCTGGCTATTTTCATTCACCCAGTTTGAGGAACTGGATTGTTTCCAGCCCAGTTGTATCCTTTCAGTTTTTTTTTAATATCTGTACGCGATAATTGTTTCTGCGTGCATTTGTCAAGGTATGGCTTTCTTTCGGAAAAAATCATTTGCAGTACTATGTCATTACAAACATGAGTTTGCAGTCTTCCATCCGATTCTGTCACAAAATATGGTCTGTCAGAACTCATGTCTGTAGTATTTTCCCCTTTAATTTCACCAAACTAACTTCAACACAAACTCAGATATGTTTTATAATCAAATCCACTCAGTCGTCACGCAATAAAAGCTTGCTATGTTGAACTTCTGGGGAACTTAATTTGTTCCACTCGGAACTTGA